AAAAAAAAAAAAAAAAAAAAAAAAGCAAAATGTACCATCTTTTTCAGAAATCTAGTTGTGAAAATGTATTTAATTATGAGATTATAACTTCATGAAATTTTCTTCTCTTCAAGTTATTTTGGAAATTAGGCTTCCTTAAAAATGAGAAAATAAATAAAATAGAAAGATAACCATGGGTTATATGAAAAAATTAGATGTAAAAATATGTCAAGCTGAGTTTAAGTGAGTCTAAACTTGACTAACTACAAAACTATTAAACTTAAGCCTGTCATAATTACTTATTACATTTTTTTTAAATATGACTTGATCTGTCTAAAAATTGTTTGACTCAACTTAATAGTATATTTACATGACCTAAGTTATAAAAAAATCAATTAGACTTATAAGTCTAAATATTAAAATATTATTATTCATAATTATATACATTAAATATAAATTGATATATAATATTATGTTTTAAGTAAGATGTATCAACTTATCAGACTTTTTTAAATGTTTGACCTTTTAGCTAAAAATAACTTTCTAAAAAAAAACTAAGCTTAACTTTTCTAATAAACATATAGGTTAAGTTGTAAAACTTGTATAAATAATCTGATTTATTTTCATCCCAAGATAAAATACATGATAAAGATACTTATGTTTTATTTTTTTATTTTTTTGCAAAATACATAGAAAATAAAACAAAATTAAGAGATGAGAAAAGGTTTTGAGAAGAAAAGCTGAAAGAAAAAGAACAAAACACTTTAATTTATCACGCTTCTTTCCAACACTAGAACTTTTTAACAAATTAAACGATGGTATGAATTCATATTTCAGGGAGATTAGATTCAAACACAAGACAAACTGGGGAGATTCTGATCAATGGTCACAAACAAGCACTATCTTACGGAACCTCGGTATGTACACAAAATCTTAAACTCATCAACAGAAAAGCAAATTGGACTGCTAATTTGTTGAAGTGGCCACGTAACATGATCAATTAACCATTCTTTCCACCATGTTGTGACCATAGGCTTATGTCACACAAGACGACATATTGTTGACAACGTTAACGGTTAGAGAAGCAGTGCACTATTCAGCTCAACTCCAATTACCTGACACCATGTCCAAGAAAGAGAAGAAAGAGAGAGCAGACTTCACAATAAGAGAAATGGGTCTTCAAGATGCCATTAACACAAAAATTGGAGGGTGGGGTTGTAAAGGCATTAGTGGGGGTCAGAAGAGGCGAGTTAGCATTTGCATTGAGATCCTAACACGCCCTAAACTTCTTTTTCTTGATGAACCAACTAGTGGACTAGACAGTGCAGCTTCCTATTATGTCATGAAAAGAATCGCTGCCCTGGCTCAAAATGATCACACTCAGAGAACTGTTGTTGCTTCAATCCACCAACCTAGTAGTGAAGTTTTTCAACTCTTTAATAACCTTTGTCTTTTGTCTTCGGGTAAAACCGTTTACTTTGGACCTGCTTCAGCTGCAAGTGAGGTAATATCAACTATTTAAGTCAATTTAGATATAAGTTTAGAAGTATTTTTAAGAGTTTTTCTATTAAAATATTTTTTATTTTTAATAAATTAATTCTTAAAAATACTTTTAATTTTTTTTATATTTAAATAGACTGTTAATCATTTTTACACTCCATTATTATTACAAATTTACAGTGTTGTACTTTCTTTTCTAATTATAGTGCCCACTTACTTTTTATACTTTGTTTCAATGTAGTTTTTTGCATCAAATGGTTTCCCATGTCCTGGTCTCATGAATCCTTCTGATCATTTACTGAAGACTATAAACAAGGATTTTGATCAGGTAATTAAGGTGACCAAGTTTCCATATTGGCATTGGTGCTTTTATCATGATTCAATTCTTCTCCAGTGTAAGATATTTGAACATAACTGTTGTCAACACAAATATGATTAGAATGCTTTTTTTATTTCATCAGGACATTGAGATGGGTTTAGCAGAAACTAGAATACCCACAGAAGAAGTAATCCACATCCTTGTGAGCTCATACAAATCTTCAGAAAGGAAACAAGAAGTTCAAAATGAAGTAGCTATACTATCTGAGAAGGTACAACTTGAATGGTTACTGGTTACAACTGGATGCTCGATTGCTCACACCACAAATACCCAAGTTAACTAATATTTACATTAATTGGTTTCAGGACAAAAGTTCATTGGATTTGAAGAGAGGACATGCAGGTTTCCTTAATCAATGCTTAGCTCTCACCGAAAGATCGTTCTTGAACATGTATCGTGATCTAGGCTATTATTGGTTACGCCTTGTCATATATATTGCATTGGCCATAACTTTAGGCACTGTTTTCTATAATTTGGGCACAAGTTATGACTCAATTAAGGTAAGGGAGGCATATTACAGAATCATACTATTAATAATTAAAATCACACATAGAGATTGTTCGAGACCATTTATATTTAAAGCATGTTTGAATACAAATTTTAAAAAAAATTCAACAATTTATAAAAAAAATATTCTTTATTTTTAATAGAAAAAATTCTTAATAATCCTTTTAAACTGTATTTGAATAAGACTACATAATAATTGCTTTTGATTATTTCAGGATCGAGGTTCGCTTGTTGCATTTATAAATGGTTTCATTACTTTCATGACCATTGGTGGATTCCCTTCCTTTGTGGAAGTCATGAAGGTAATTCGAAACATCTGAATAGAATTTTTTCCATTCCAAATTTGTTAATAATTATATAAGTAGTCTAAAATGTGTACACCATTACTTGGTTCCCAGGTATTTCAACGAGAAAGACAAAATGGTCATTATGGTGTTACTGCATTTGTCATTGGTAACACCTTATCATCTATCCCATACTTGCTATTGGTGACAGTCATTCCCGGGGCTATATCTTATTACCTTCCTGGCCTTCAGAGTGGATGCGAGCACTTTCTGTATTTCATTTGTGTTTTATTTTCTAGTCTCATGTTAGTGGAGAGCCTCATGATGATAGTTGCAAGCGTGGTTCCAAACTTTCTAATGGGCATCATAACCGGTGCTGGAATTCAAGGAGTCATGCTTTTAGTTAACGGGTTCTTTAGATTGCCAAATGATATTCCTAAGCCAGTTTGGAAGTACCCGTTACACTTCGTTGCTTTTCACACGTTTTCCGACCAAGGAATGTTCAAGAACGAGTACCAAGGACTGAGATTTGCTACAAATGGAGTTGGAGAAGGAGGATCAAAGGGTTACGTAAGTGGTGAAGAGGTTTTGAGAAATATATGGCAAGTTGACATGAGTTACTCCAAGTGGGTTGATCTTGCAGTCTTGGCGGGGATGATTGTTGTGTATCGAGTTTTGTTTTTGGTTATCATCAAGATTAAAGAGAAGGTGAAGCCCCGTGGTGTATCGCTATCGTGCATGTCAGCGTCTCCCAAGCGAAAGATAAAGGTCATGGAAAACCCTAACGCCACTCCAATGCATTCACAAGTTCTGTAATTTTACTTTTTTGGTCATTCAGTGTCGAAACTCTCAGCCTCTCGATGGTTAGGTAGGTCAAAAGTAATATAAAATTAAGCAAGTGTTGTATGGTACTCTTAATTTAGTCTTTAATTATGAAAAAACTCAAAAAAAATCTATAAAAAATGTAATATATCACTCATTTGATTCTTTCCATTTTCTTAAACAAAAATACTTATACGATACGATTATGTCACATGACATACACGTAATATATTTGTAGTGATACGTGTTACGTAATAATATCATATATAATTTTAAAAACTTAAATAACATTGTTTTATAATTTCAATAATTAAAATGATATTATGGTATAATCATATATATATATATATATATATATATATATATATATATACTTTTAGTATATGGTATATAAAAGTAAGTACCGAAAAAATCATTTATAACGTAAGTTCTCTATAAATTTCATTGAAGCGAATAGGAATGAGTTTGAGTTTTAATTTTTAAGCACTAGGTGGCCTCAAAGTTTGCACGTATACTTGATTGAATTCTTGGTTGATCGATGATCCTTAATGAGATCAGAAGGACTATAGAGAGGTGGGCAAGGAAAACCATTTGAAGCAAAAAAACTGCACCGAATGAAAAGTGTCACAATACATGTATATGATCAACATATGTTTGTTTTTTGTTCTATAATTATTTGAGTTCCTTACTAACCTGATCTGCATAAGAGTCAGGACCAGAATATACCATCTTTCCTGAAGAGAGAAGACAAAGGTCATGGAAAAGTTGGTCTCACTGTTAGGGTGTTCAAGCATCATCCTCATCACTATCAACATGTGATATTTATAAATGAAAGAAGCAGACAATTTTTTAATATAAATCATCATTTTTGTATTTTCTTTCAAATTATTAACTATTTGAAAGTGCTTTCACCAATAGTTACGAGAGAATGATGCTTCAACACCCTTAATTATAAATACTTATTTCACACTCCTTGTTTCTCTATATTTTTCGTATCATTTCACTTATTAACCAGTTTCATAAGACTTATATATTACAAGTGGTGTGTGTTTGTATTTGCCGAATGTCTTACCTTCTTTGTTTGTATCATCCAAATTAATAATATTTAATCTTCAAAACAACTTCGAATACAAAGTGCAATCTCCTCGTAAAAGGCTTCTTGGGGACATTAGACTGTAACTCATTTTTATATTTGAGGATTAGTTTGGTCTTGTCGGGGGCGTTTGGATAGATGGGAACCAAACAGGATTTGTCCTCCAAATTCACGATGGTTATCCAAACCATTTATAGGTTCTATAATTCAAGGGATAAGACAAGATGATAACCCACCATTACAATGCACTTGCCTTTCTCACTTTGCCGCTGACTATCACTTTTATTTTGACTAACCGTTTTTTCAAGAAATTAATAAAACCCGATATCCAAAAAAATAAATAAAAGATCAATGGATAAGAAAATGAGATTTGTACAATAATTTATACAATAATTTATATAATTTTTTTTTCTCTATCACATTATTTATTGATAGAGAAAGTTAAAGATAAAAAAATGACGTTATATAAATTATTACAAGGCAATTGTATATTTGTATGTGTATCTAATACTCTATATTATATATAATTATGCTCAAATGATATGAATAATTCTTGGAGCACCCTATAATATAGGGAATGAGTTAAATTGTGTCTAAAATAATTTTATACAGTTTTTTTTGTTTTATAGTCTATATTAAAGATAAGTTTCGTGATTTTTAAAATAATTATCTTAAAAGTTATATAAATTATAATTTTTAATTGATTCACTATGTAAAACTATTTATCTTAACAATGTTTCATCATTAAATCTATATAAATTATCATCAAATGTGATACATTATTATGTTAATAGTTAATGCGTGATGGAATCCAAAATTTAGATTGTCCATAATGAATTATACATTTATAATCAATTTCATCTTTTAAAGTTTTGTTTGAAAGAATTTATGAACAACTTATTTGTATTTGTTTTATCCTATAAATGCTTATAAGAGTGTTTGGATAAACTTATAAAATATATTTTATGTTTTGAATTTATTTTAATAAATTGTAAGTTTATTACTTAACTTATGCATAAATTTATTAAAAAATATTTAAATTTGAATCCCGTTACTGACATAAATAATTTTCATTTTTACTTTATTCAGTCTTTTACCAAAAAGGTTTTTGTTCCTCCCTCTAAAATTTTTTATTCCTCTTTATTTTTTCTTTCTCTTCTCCAATTTGTTTTTATCTCTTCCTTCCAAAATTTACATTCCCCTACTACAAACTCAACTATTTTCTCTCTCTAAAATAGCACATCTAAAATAATTTTATTGTTAATATTTATTCAATATTTTTTAATCATGGTTTTATAAATATATAAAATTGATTTTAAATTTTTAAAATTTATAATTCTTAATTTTTAATCATGGATATATATATA